AGTACACTGCTAATTAATTCGTAAATAGTGCTAGAGCGAGTAGCAGTGATATCGTTAGTTGTAACGGTGAAGTTGCCGCCGGGACCGGAATTAGGAATGGCACCTTCAGTATTTGCACCATGATGAGTACCGTTATATTTTCAGCAGTACTGTAGCGCAACTTTTCCGATGGTTGTGCGACTGACTCTTGATACTACTCATAACCGTAATAGTACACTATCAGTTTATCTGTGCTTTTTGTGATTGATTAATTGTCAACAATACTTTTAGGTACTTAGGACAATAATGTTGTCACCAGTCGGTTCGTTGCTGACCGATGAGACTGTATGCGAAATTCTGCAGTCCTGTTTCCGAATATGCTTTGAAAGTCGTCTGACATGTCTGTTGCGGAAGGCTGCCGAGTCTTGTTTAATCGACATGGTCCAGCTGTTGTTCACCAGATTGCCGACGTTTGTCGAGGATCTGCATCATCCGTATATTCGCCGACTCAAGATGCAGTCTACACTGAAGGACGGCAGCCATCGGCGAAAGTCGAAGAAGAAGCCGAAGGACATAGCGCAGCCGGCCAACTCTACGGAAGCAGATTCCACCTCGAAGGGGAATGAGATGTCCCCTACGGAAGGCGGTGATGCTTCAGTAGAGACGGCGATCAAAGACAGTAAGCCTGAAGCGGCCGCCACCAACACCTCTGTTGGTGAGGCGGAACAGCAGAAGGTTGTAGACGTCCATGGCGACTTCGGTTTTGTCGTTGAGGAGCATGACCGGCTAATGCGCAGCTACAGCGAGGCGACAGTCAGTGTGTCCAGCATTTCCAAGGATGAAAGCGAACGTGAAAGCCACCAGGAGCTTAGGGACGAAGGATCTGGAGTAGTTGCTCAGTGTTCGTTGGAGGACAAATACGAAGTGGTCGTCGTGGATCAATGTCCTGCTGTCCAACTGGAGTCTGATAGCCAGTCAAACGATGTCAGGTTCACGATCGATGACCAGATGACCAGCAAACCCCCGCTGCTACCTACCAAAGAAACTCTGAACGAAAATGAGAACAGCGACGAAACTTCTGAAGTGTCTACTCTGCCGTACGGGTTGCCGTGCGTGCGGGAGTTACTCCGCTTCCTGATCACGTTGTGCAACCCGTGGGAGCAGCAGAACAGCGGCAGCATGATCGAGTTGGCTTTGAATCTGATCATTGTGGCTCTCGAGGCCGGCGCAGATCATCTCGGCAAATATTCAGTGCTGTTGCCGATGGTACAAAACGAACTCTGTCGAAACATAATCAGTCTTCTCGGCACCAGCCAGGTGACGCTGCTGTCGTTAACGCTCAGGGCTGGTTTTCTCATATTTGAGGCTCTTCGCACGTATCTAAAATTCCAGCTCGAGATGTACCTTTTGCGGCTGATGGCTCTGGCGGTCGCCGACATGCAGGCGCTACACAACATGTCATCCTCCGTACAATATCATCCCATTTCAGAGGTGCAGTAG